TAAGTTGGTCTCTCCTTTCGTTTTTCTCGCCTAAGCAATGTTGTCCTAAGAAGTCTTCTATTCTGCTTTTACCAACTTTGGCATTGAAATTACCCATGATGATGGTAAGCTCGTTCTTCTTGGTATATTTTAGTGCTTTTTGTACAAGTGTGTAGAACTCCTCGATATCCTCTTCTAGCTTTTCTGATGTTGGAGCGTAAATTTAAATGATGTTCGTATTAACGGGTCTGCTTTGCAGCTTCATGTGAATGACTCTATTCCGTCACCAACAAAATTTTCAATTTCTTATTTAACTAAGCTTTCACCGTGCTTCGGAGGGCACGTAAATCCGTCGGTTTCGGCTACGAAAGCAGTCGTAAAGTCATGTTAGGGGCGCTTGCGTGACCTAAAAATCCTAACACTAGACCTTAGCCAGAAGGTTATACGAACTTTACTTTTTTAGAGAGAGGTAGCACGCTGATCACTTGAGGTGGAAGAGGTAGTACTTGTTCTATCATGGCCCAATTTCGGAAATGTTTTTGACAAATACAAGCAAGAAAATGGAAGAAATATTATGTAGTATTTACTGAAGCTTTGTTTACTGGGTAAAAATTTGCAACGGGTAAAGGTCATTGTTTGATTATTATTTATATTGGATGATATAAAGCATTTGTTGATCAAGATTTGGTAGACTTTCGTTCAATCTCTACGAAAGACTTTGTTCTAAAACTTGGTGAGTGGATCTACCAATTGAAAATTGTTGGTACCTACAAGAAACTTTTGAAATAACAGAAATTACACTTATTCAAAATGGACTCTATCATCACAAAAAGTGATGTACTACAAATTTTCGGTACCTATAAATGATTTACCATTGACAACAACAATATACGATTGCTACAGAAACAGTGAAGTACCTATAATAAAAATATTAAGAAAGAAGTTGGAAACAACCAATGGTTTATCAGGTAATGGATTCTTCCCCAAAGTTCGGGTCCTCCATATTTCAACAATTCTGCCGAAACTCCGTCCATTCCTGGCGCTTCACTGTTTTTTAGTTTCTTTATTATTTGGAATACTTCTTCATAACTCGGATTTTTAATGTGCTGCTCTGCCGTAAAATATATTGTTTCGTTTTGATCATTTCCATTGTGTGCATTTAGGTTTTCCTCAAAGTATACTTTCCATCTCATTATAATTTTTTGTTTCTCTGTTAGTAGATCTCCTTCCTTCTCTTTGCATATGGTCAATTTTGGTCTAAATCACAGGTTAATAAAACCTATGTCCAATATATGTAAACATGGCAGAGAACTAAAATCACCTGTGTCCATATATGGTACTCGTGTCAGTTAAATTGATAATATTATTTTTGTCGCTATTATCATAACATAAGGATACTTTACAATGCTCCTAACACATCTTGGACGTTCTTTTTGGCGAATTTTAACACCAATCAACATAATGCATTTTTAACATTAGACTCGGTGGGAGGAGTCACAGTATCCTTAAGTGTCAACCTATCTACCAAGATCAAATAAAATATTATCATTTCTGTTTTTCATTTTTATTCCTTAAAGAAAATGCACGATACATATTATAGTACTAACAATAAAGAGCGTGTTGCCACGCACTCAAATCTACTAAACACTGATTGTATGTTTAATTACTAAAACAATCTTCTTGTTGTGTATCGTTATTAAAATAACTGATAGGAAAAGTATACAATCGGAACGTTCACGTTAATAATTATTAAGGTAAACCAAATGCAGGACTGTCTTTAGTTCAGTCGTTGAATATTTGTAATGTTATTAATAGAGCGCGGATTATATGCAAATTGCATATAACGTGCATATTTTGCATATTTTGTCAGTTTTTGAAAAAAATGCATATTTTGACATTTTAATTTACCTGCGTATTATGGTCGCCTTTACACCCAAAAATTATATTTAACAGTTCCCTCTGATAAGGTCGAAGAATTTAAGGAATTTCCAAGTTGAATGGTCGTATTCAGTTAATTTTTTTAACCCGATCTCACTGTGGTCATTAGACAATAATAGAGTATTTAGAGGGGACTATTTATTTTTATTACTGTTATCTAAATTACTTTTATAATAATAAATGAGACACTGTATTTGAGAATAATTCTACTATTATATAAAGACGGTAGTAGATTTTTGTTTTAATACAGAGCGGCGACAAGCCGCTTATACGCATTTCGAGCTCTTTGGGTCTCTTCAGAGCGGTATAGCCACCACTCTGGATCGAAACAAAATATATTCCCGTCGTAGACAATAGTTATCAAAATAACTATATACGGCCGTAGCTACGCCATCTAATAAAAAAAAGAGAAATCATACGATTTCTACCTGGTGAAATTGAATTCAAATTTTTACCACTGTACTTTCTAAAACTTGCAAAACAAACAGCTTGATAAATGATGATGATTTATCATCATAGATTCATATTAAAAGGGGTACTACTAATAGATTTACCAGAGAAATTAAGATGATATGAGTAATACGTTAGAGAACTTTTCCAAGATGAAAGAGGTGAAATGCAGAAAATACAAGAATTAAATCCTTTAGAGAGACAGAAGATCACGATAGATGAAATCAAATATGCTATCAAAAACACTTAAGAAAATAAGGTAGCTGGATTAGATGAAATACCCGTATAACTGTCAAAACTAGTGGAAGAAGATAACTTGGAAGTATTGGCAGATTTATTCAACACGTGTACGGTACGGGAATAATACCACAAGAGTGGCTGAAGTCAGCATTTATAATCATCCCTAAAAAACAAGCAGCAAAAGAGTGCTCTGATTATCGAGCACTGAGCCTCATGAGTCACACTTCAAAAGTACTGATGAAAGTAATACATAAGAGAATATACGAAAGGCTAGAGGGGATATTAGCGAGACGCAGTTCGGGTTCCGAAATAGAATCGGTACTCGAGAAGGACTATTTACCATTAACATATTGATGTTGTGTGCAAACTTCAATGTGGCGACTGCCCAAAAACTTACATCGGTCAAACTGGTAGAAACTTTGATAAACGAATAGCAAAACATAAAAGGCTTTCAAGAATAGAAAAACAGATTCGACGTACGCACTTCACCTTCTAGATTCTAGATCATAATCATTCTTTTAATGACAAATTTAAAATTTTTCACATTCAAAATAAAGGCCTTAAGCTATCTTTGTTAGAATCTATGGAAATCAACAAATTAAAAAAACACAGATATAATTCTGAATGACCAGCCTGAGACAAACAGTTCTCCCCTCCTCAACCTATTTCATTAGAGACTATAAATTTGTAAACCCAAGCCAAAATAGATCACTTGAGAAAGGCAATCAGCCGAAACAGCTGTAGTGATAATATTTAAAATAAATTTTGTGTAAGTTTGAAAACAAAGTTTTCGGAGTTTTATTGTTACATTAACATATTGATTCAGCGATGTCATATGTAAATGATGATCTGCACTTATGCTTTGTTAACTACGAAAAAGCTATCGATAAAGTAAAACATGAAAAACTAATATCAATACCTATGAACAAGCGCATTGACAGTGAAATTATTTCAAATGTGGTGCAAACATTATATTGGTACCACATTGCTATAGTTCAAATTGATGATCAACACTCAAAAGAAATGAAGATCTGTAGAGGAGTTACACAGGGATGTGTTTTATTGCCACTTATGTTTAACTTATATTCTGAAGAAGTTTTCCAAAACACGCTCAATAATATCAAAGTGGGAGTTACATTTAACGGAAAATTAATTAACAACTTACGATATGCAGACAATACTGTGATCATAGCAACGAGTATAGAAGATCAACATTATCTTATCGAAAGCCTAAGTATGAATAGTGCTGAGATGGGAATTACTATAAACGCTAAAAAACGAAGTATATGCTAATTACAAAAAAACCACAAAATATACATCACCTATTGACAATCAATGTTAACATAAATAGAACAAGTAGAAAAATATCAGTACTTGGGAACTTTGATCAATGAAACCAATGATCATACTGCAGAAATAAACAGGCAAATAGAGATTGCCAGATCAGCATTTATACGAATGGATAAATGAATCAGACTACGTACTATTCGCTGTTATATATTTTCAATTTTATTATTTGAAGCTGAGACTTGGACATAAAAAAATGCAATTTAAAAAGAATCGAGGCTTTCGAACTCTGGTTATACCGTATAGTATTAAAAATATCATAGACTGATAGAATTACAAATATAGAAGTACTGAAGAGGGTTGGTAAAGAAACAGAACTAATCACCACTATACAAACCAGAAAACTGGAATACCTAGGCTACGTGATAAGGGGACCAAAATATGAAATTTAGAGACCCGTAATACAAGGAAAGATTTAAGGAAGAAGATCTGTTGGCCGAAGGCAGAACACATGGTTGAAGAATCTACGTGATTGGTATTAATGCAGATCAATCGATTTGTATATTCGCAAATTCAAAATAAAAATAGTCATTATGATTGCCAACCTCCGTAGGAAGACGGCACTCTAAGAAGAGATCACAGAGAAGACGGTGTTTGTGTAGAAGAAGATTACTATATGATTTAGTGAGAATGAAAAATGTTTCCCCGTAGAGGTGAATGAACGGAAAAATGTATGTGTATATATGGATATCTATACATATATGTATTTATATATATATAATAATTTTGTTTTCTTCATATCACTTGTCCCGAATGTATAGTCTAATAATTCCTTGTCACCTAATTTGAAGTTGACTGTATACCTCGTTCTCGCGAGAACCCCTGCACACGTGTCCGATTAAATTATCGGCATAAATAACACCGCTATAACAATAATCAATCAAATCACTTACTTTACGTGACAACATTAAAGATGCCGTACATAAAATCGCCCTGTAGATCCTGCGCCTGTCCCTACAGTATTCCTGCCGCTACGAACAACCTAAATCGATCCACCACCAGCAAGCAACCCACGTTAATACCGTCTCCTCCATTTGCAGCCAAGTCTCCGACGGAAACCTTATCGAAACTTTTTGTATTATATTAATTATATTTTTTACCTTATCAGTTAGTGTTCGGCTATACGCAACAGCATCTGTAATTAGGTAGAAGTTTAGGTCGGGAGAGTTTCCGGAAATTTTCATGAAAATGGGAAAACATCTGCAAACTGTTGCTGCGATGGCATGCATGAAGAGTTTTTTGATGGTATTTAATATCGTATTCTGGGTAAGTGATTGATATACGTAATATTTCGCAGTAAGATTTTTATTACGATTTAAAAAGTGGGTTTCCTGTGGTTGTTATCAAATTATTTGTACCGTTTTTGTACAAATATCAACAAGTAGGGATATTTGTAACTTAAATTCTACAAGATACATACAAATACAAGAACATACAAATCAATCGCAAGTGCTTTCTGAGAAATATTTTATTTTCAGTAACGTAAAACGGGGTCAATAAAAACAGTTTTGAGGTTGTCAGGCTTTGTAGTTAAGTTGCTATTTATTGAATCGACCACGATTATATGCAAAATGTGTATCACGGCTAATAGGTATAAGGGCCTATAGATTGTCTTAAAGTGACTAGTCTGTACAGGGTAAATGCGCAACATCGATGCCATACTTCTTTGCAAACTTGTATTAAAATAAACGTCACTTCTTACTACTTAGCCTAATCCATCTTTTGTTGTTGAGGGTAGCTTAAGTACTAATGCCCACTAACGACCCTGCCTGGCTTCCTTCTATCAGTGGTTCTCAAAGATTAATAATATTTGCTTCAACATACTTGGGTTAAATTAAAATAAAATATAAACTAAGAAATGTCTTTTATTTATGGCACACAAGCAATTTGTTTTTAATCCTACAGTATGTGCTAGCGATACAAACCATTTGTTTATAGATTTAAATAAAATCGAATAAAATAAAACTAAAATATAAAGAAACTTTTATTTATGTATTGTTACGTTCAAAAGTTAAGGGAGGAAGGACTTTTAAAAACCTCACTGTATATTTTGGCAGTTAGAAAACGTAGAAATATCCGAAAATAAAGCTAATAAATAAGTTGAAAATAAAAGAAGTCATTGTTAAATAGATTCTTTCGAAACGGGATAAACCCTTTTAAATTCTACCTTTATAGAAAACACTAGGAACAGGAACACTTGTCGGTCCACGTTTTGATTTTCAGCAATCTGGCTTAACGCAATACTCATCTCCTCATCATCTGATTCGACCTCCCCTTCATTTCTGTTAACAACCTCTTCATCTTCACTGATTCATGCTCTTCTATATTTTTGTCGTTTTGTGCATTTGAATCAAGCTGTTTGTCTTCATTTTCTTCGTCATTAAAGTCTGCTCCAATTACATGTTTACCAGCTACTAAGGCGACCTTCTTTCTCTTTCGTCGTTGTGTAGGAATATCAGAATATCTCAAGGATCTCAGCAAATTAACCACTACATTGCTAACATGTTCTACTTCTTGAACATTTGCAGTGTTGGCACTAGGGAGTCGGTTTAGTATTCACCGTATCTAGCTTATTCATAATTTGTTCCAGTTCTTCTGGTGATGACGCCAATATAACAGTGTCATCAGCATAACGTAGGTTTTTGATTTTTCTTTCTTCTATCGTTGCTCCACCTTGCCATTCCTCAAAAACTTTATGCATAATATATTCTTCTTCTTCTTAACGTGCCCTATCAAGTCCCATTGACGTTGGCGATTAACATGGCGAAACTGTCTCTGTCTCGAGCTATTCTAAAGAGTTGCTCAGCTTTCGTTATTTCTGTCCATTCCCTGATATTCTTCAACCAAGAGGCCTGCTTTCTACCAATTCCTCTGCGTCCTTCGATTTTACCCATCATAATAAGTTGAAGAATATTATATCGGTCTCCCCTTACTACGTGTCCAAAATAGGCCATCTTTCTACATTTGATGTTATCAAGCAGCTCGCGAGCAGAATTTGCTCTCTCAAGGACTGCTACATTTGTCAGTATAGCCGTCGATGGAATTTTTATTGTCTGTGCAGCCACATTTCAAAGGCCTCCAGACGATTAATGGTGGATATTTTTAATGTCCATGCTTTGACACCGTATAAGAGGACTGACCAAATGTAGCATTTAACCATGCGCTTTCGAAGTTGAAGTTGCAAGTTATCATTACAGAAGAATGACCTCATTTTTAAAAATGTCGTGCGGGCTATCTCGATTCTACATTTTATCTCTTGATCTGGATCTAGTTGTTCAGTAATATGGCAACCAAGATAATTAAAACTGGACACTCTTTGAATTATATGACCATCAACATATAATCGTACATCTTGATGTGCTAAACGGCTAAACACCATATGTTTTGTTCCTCTCTCCCACTGTATCAATGGCATTTAAAAGGCATTGTAGTTCATTCATGTCATCACTTAAAATAACTGTATCGTCTGCATATTTGATTGTATGATTGTATATCTGATTGTATATACACTATATTTATATATTGAATAGAATAGGGGGTATGATGCATCTCTAATGAACTCCTGTTTTTAATTTCAAGCTTTTCGAAACCACATTATTAACTCTTACATTAGCAGTATTATCTACATATAGCTTTCCCATTTTACGACATTGAAGACTTTGGAATAGTCAACAAAGCATAAATATGTTTCTATGTTAAAATCTCGAGATTTTTCGATAATTTGACGAATATTAAGGAATTAAGGAATAAAGGAATTAAGTTCTTGGTAATTACTGCAATATGTCGGTGAACCTTTTTTATATATGGAAATAATTATTAGTTTACCCCAGTCATTTGGCCACTTTCCAGTATTCCAGATCTCATTGCAAATTCTAAGCAATACTTCCGTCCCTAATTCTCCCATATCATTGAGTGTTTCAGATGTTATTCCATCTTCTTCTTCTTCTTCTTTAGCTCTTTAATTGCCGCCCTAATTTCTGATTTTAATATTTGAAAAATTTTTCATTCGATTTTTAAGTTAAGTTAATTAAACTTCTTTTCTCTGTATTATTGTCTGGGTCGTTCTTAGAGAATAGTATTTCGCAATATTGTTTCCACATCTCTGCGATACCTTCTGAGTTTGTTATGGTATTTCCACTATTATCTTTGATGGTCTGTGTCTGCGGTTTGAATTCTCTCGCTAGATACTTGACGTTTGAGAAAAGTTCTCTAGATTCTTGGCGGTCAGCATGTTCCTCTATTTGTACACAAATGATTTTAATATAATGGTTTTTGTCCCTTCTGCAAAAGTGTTTTATAGTTGTATTTATGGTGCTTATCTCTATTTCTTTTTGTTTTGAATTTGATTTACCGTTTCTAAGTTTTCGTCTTTCTTCTACAAGATTGAGAGTCTCTTCAGTCATCCAATGTTTTTTCCTAGTCTTTGGGATTAGTATTATTATATTGTAACAAAACTATGATAGTCTTGATGATAACCAACAATCGGACCGGATAAGGTATTGAAGAAGGAGAAGCCATGCTCACCTATCGTTCCTTTCAAATGGTCATCTATTTTAGACACTTAGGGACGAAAGAACTTAAGGACATAGCTTTCAACAAATAATAGGAAAAATTTTTTATTTTAAATCCTTTATAAAAGGTATATAATAAAAAACCCACACAGGCTATATCACAATTACATTACAGAAAGTTTTCGGAATGTAAATTCCATCATCAGTGTAACAAGTATACATGCTATGAGCCACTAAAATATATGGATAAAACCCAGTTAAATGTTGTTAATTTAAAGTTTTGTTACAATATATGTTATTAAAAATTAAGATCTTCAAGTTACCGTTGGAATTAGTAACATGGCGACGTATGGCTCTACATAGGTTACATGGTCCTGAGACAAAGTGTCTTCGAGGACCTGTTGATAACAACTGTTTATTATTTGTGATACATGGTATACAGCCAACAACAGGAACTTAGTTTCCTAGTGAAAATAATAGGAAGCTTTTCTGCGCCGCTGATAGTAAAGTCAGTTTCTATTGGTCAAGATCACAACAGTTACCAACATTGGAAAACAAATTTGCACTTACGGGAGAAGATATTTATCATAGATAACACCAACATACTCCTATTTCCCCTAAAAATACTTTATCGTGGTAATTATCATTAAACATTTTACTATTATCAGTTATTCGCGAACTAACATGTTTGTTGTTTAATATTTGTACTAGAATTTATTGGTTATATGCTCAATAATGGAAGAAAAACTACAAATTTTCGTTTTAGTGTTCTTGAAAAGCTATTTGCTGATGATTAACGCATTTTTGTTAGTAAGTAGCTTTTATTTACACCTAATAATTGGCTGTTATAGATATGTTTAGTCTGTCATAAAGTTTATAACATGTCATAAATGAATAAAACATTTGACTGAAAATCAGTCAATGTCCAGCACAATATTTCTCGAGTACTCTGTCATATCTTTCTCAAGATAAATTAAGTTTGCTACCTTATAATCAATATTTCTTCTGTTGTTGATCTGTTTCACTTAATTAAAACATATTTTAGTATATTTTTGTTTCTCCCCTCATTCCTCTATTAATTACTATAAAATCTTCTTCTTCTTCTTCTAATACGTTACAACCCTTTGTGGGTCTTGACTTGCTTAACATTTTTCTTGCATTCTGCGGAATCTTCCTTTCGTGCTATTTACTTGTGGTTTTCATCTCTGGATTACTTCATTTTCATGACGTTGATAATCATAACGTTGAAACTATAGGCCTATTCTTCTTCTTTAAGTTCCATCTTCTATCGAAGGTTGGAAATCAGCATGGCTATGCGGACTCTGTTGACTGCCGCTCTAAAAAGTTCTGCACTACTGCATTCAAACCATTCCCTTAAGTTATTAAGCCAGGATATTCTTCGTCTTCCCACATTTCGCTTTCCTCGGATTTTGCCCTGCATAATAAGTTGTAATAATGCGTATTTTTGCCCTCTCATCACATGTCCCAAGTACTCAAGTTTTCGTCTTTTGATAGTTAAAATTATTTCCGCCCCATTTCCTATCCTTCTAGTTACTTCCATGTTTGAAATTCTTTGAATCCATGATATTCGTAGGCTTCTTCTGTAACACCAAAATTCAAAGGCGGCCAACTTATTCAGATGAACTTGTTTTAGTGTCCAAGCTTCCAAACCATAAAGAAGGGTAGAGAACACGTAACATCGAAGCATTCTCAGGCGTAGTTCTAACCTTATATCCCGACAACAAACAAACTTTTTAAGTTTAATAAATGATGTACGTGCTATTTCAATACGTGTCTTAATTTCTTTGGTTTGGTCTACATCTGATGTTATCAATTGGATATTTGCATGTGCAGATTTGGTCATGATCAGTCCGTACTCATGACAGCGTTCATTAAGGCGTTGCATTACGTTCTGTAAATCATTGTTGTTATCCGTAATTATTACTGTATCGTCTGCAAAACGTAAATTATTCAAAACTTCTCCATTGATAGATATAGCTTCTATTGAGTCTGAGAGCGCTTCTTGAAATACCGCTTCACTGTAGACATTGAAAAGTAGTGGGGACAGCACGCAACCCTGGCGGACTCCTCTCTGTATTTTGATATTTTCGGTGTACTGGCTGTCAACTCTTACCTTGGCAGTTTGATTCCAATATAAATTAGATATAATTTTCAGATCACGACTGTCAATATTTTTGCTTTTTAATATATCTACAAGCTTTTTATGTTGAACTTTATCAAATGCCTTTTCAAAGTTTACAAAACATAAGTACATATCCTGATTCATGTCCATGCATCTCTGAGCCAGCACATTCAAGCCGAACAAAGCATCTTTTGTACTCATACCATTTCTAAAGCCAAATTGTGTGTCACTAATCTCATATTCAAGAGTTTTAACAATTCTGCTGTGAATTATTTTCAAAAATGTTTTAAGTGTGTGACTCATTAAAGCTATTGTTCTGTGGTCTGAGCAATTTGTTGAACTTGGTTTTTTGGGAATTGCTACAAAGGTTGATTGTCGATGTCACGAACGCTGTCATGAGTACAGATTATTTTTTATAAATAATATTAAATTTAATTTTCCAAAAATACATCTAAGAATTAATAACAAACGACTGCTCTCAACTAATAAGACTGATTGTTCATCAAATTCTTCTGTGAAACAAATAAAAGTTGGTTTTGAAACAAATTTCTAGTCTGCACAAGCTGTTGTCTTAAAATTTAGTTTAGATGTATAGTGTTTTTTACTTGTTTTATTCTGTCTAGGTTTAGTTTTTAATATAGTTATTAGTTTTTAGTAGTAGTAAGCACTCTTTTATTGTAATAACAATGATTTTGTGTTTTAAAGAAGGTTATATAAATAAATAAAAAAATAAATATAAATCACTATCGGTTTACTTAATCTTAACCTTTTAAAAAAGTCTTTATCATTACTAAAATTAAAATGCTCAATTCTACATCAAATATTATATTCTCGCACTAAGTTTATAAAAATTAAACATCCTTCTGATCATACTCTTCGATTTCATTAAATCTTTTAATGTCCATGTCTTTAATCTACACTAAACAACAATATTTAGGTTATATTTTTGATTTCGCGATAATCTACAACATAATTACGAACTACATTAAATACAATTTATTATCTAGATAACTTTTTATTTTATTGACATATTTTATACGCCAGATAATTTTAATTTATTTTATCTGTCAGTTTATCTGTTTAGATGTCTTTCCTAGGTGACGCTAGAATTTTAAATCTAAACGAACATAAAACTTTAAATTATTTTATGTTAAATTCCACCTTAAAAATATTATTAAAATTAATTATTAATTGTATTATTATGTAATTAATACAGTATTATTAATTAAATATATCGTTTAAAGAACAAAGTATGATTGAAATGTCAAATAGTGTTAGTTCAGATTTCTTTCCTAGATGGCGTCGTTAGTTTACTCGACAAGCGGTGTGACTTGAAAAATTATTTTACTGTTACAGGTTTCTGGAATAATAATACTGGCTATTGGAATATGGGTGGAAGTGGAGTTATACAAGTACATGGAGATGAGTACGGCATTCAATCGTACTGCCCCATATGTCTTTATAGTAACGGGTCTGCTGATCATCCTTGTGGGTTCATTTGCCTGCTGCTGTACTGTAAAGGGACAACCGATTCTTTTATACATAGTAAGTACTTTAAATATTCATTAGTTATAAGAAAATAAATTATGTAATCTTGAATATCAATTAAAAACCATCAAATTAAAGCTTTATCTTTTTATATTTGTCCAAACACTATTTGATCATAATGCCTCTACATCAAACCATATCTTTTTATAAAACTAAGCCATCAATACTAAATAGTTTAATCATTTTTTTGACTCGATACTTGTTTGGCTGGAATTGAACGACTGTTTTCTCAAACGACGTTACTAGATTTTTATAAAATCTGAAAATCTAATAATAATAGGTACATAAACATTTCGAGCCAGTCCCGCTGAAAGTCTTTATTTCCTGTTTGTTCACAAAAGATTCCAGAATTCCAGACTCTAAATCATTGAGGTTATCAGTAGTGGTTCGGTCTTGTCGAAATCCACTCTGCCGAAATCCATTCTGCTCCTTTACCAGGTGATTTTCTTATTTTTTTTTTTTTAATAATAAAAGAATAATAGTTTGAAAGACCTGAGGAGACGGCTAAACAATGGAAAATGTAAATTACCTACACAAACTAAAGAACAAAGGAGTACCCATATAAAATAGGGAAGAACCACTACACACAGTTGAAGACTTCTATCAATACACAAATCAAAGAAGACCAAACGAACTTGGAATCCGCAAAATCATCAACAAGGGTTCAGAGCTCATACCAGAGATTACACTAAGATAAAAAACAACAAAGCACCAGGAGAAGATGGGGTCGTAATAAAAGCTATAAAGATGGGCGGACGTTCCCTTCTCAACCAAATAAAAATTTTGTTTAACCTTTGTCTAACAGATTGTTGCATACCGGAAACATGGAACAATACACTAACAATTTTACTACACAAAAGAGGAGACAAGGCGCACCTAGAAAACTATAGACCAATCAGCGTATTGAACCACAACAATAAAATGTTTACCCGAATAATTACGATAAAAAAACTTGGATTTCTACCAGCCCGAGAACAAGCTGGCTTCCGCTCAAAATTCGGAACAAACGATTACCTACAATCAGTAAAAACCTTAATAGAAAAATCGTTGAATATAACAGATCACTGGTACTTATCGTCGTAGACTTTCACAAAGCCTTCGATACCGTGGAATTAGACAGCATTACAACTGCTCTGAACAATAGTAGAATAGACTACCGGCTTACAAAGTTAGTACAAACATTGTACCAAAACGCAACAATGCGTGTAAAACTGCATGATACCACCAGAGAAATTCATATAAGCAAGGTGTGAGACAGGGCGATACTCTCTCGCCTAAATTATTTATAGCGGTCCTCGAATACGCATTTAAAATGCTAAAGTGAGAAAATAGACACATACAAATAGATGGGGAAATGCTCAATCATCTGCGTTTTGCCGACTATATAGTACTTATTACCGAAGATCTGCGTGAAGCACAACAAATGCTACAAGAATTAAAAAACGTATCTTCAACAATAAATCTTAAAATGAACATCAATAAGACCAAATTTATGACAAATTTGGTTCCCAGCGAACACCTAGCCATCCAAAAATGAAGTGGTAGAATTGACAGAAGAGTACATATATCTCAATCATGAAATCAGAATAAGCACGAATAATCAGACCTGGGTGGCGTATGGTTCACTAAGAGACATTTTTAAGAGCAACCTCCCGATAGCTATGAAACGGAAGACATCTGACCAATGCGTTCTTCCTATTATGACATACGGAGTAGAAACTCTCACCCTCACAAATACGACATCCAAGTAATGGCAACAAGATAAGAGGTTGCATAATAATGACGATGATAATTTTCTTCTAACATCCAGAGCAATCTTTTGTTAACTATTTTTTCCATAACTTTTCACATTACATTGGTGAGTGAGATGGGTCTATCTGAGGAAATTTAAGTTCGTGCATTGTTAGGTTTGAGAATAGGTATAATTATTAAATTGCTGCAAGAAGTTAGAAACACATTATTTAACCATATTGTAGGTACTGAAAATTTTTAGAGCACATTTAGCATTATCTGGCATTTTTCCAAGAATATTAAAGTTATATTATCAGGTTCTGGAGTAGAGTTTTTAGTAGTATTAAGGACAAAGTTAAGTCCATCTAAGGTTAAAGAGATATTGATAGAACTATTATCTTTATCTTCACACTCAAGCTGTAGCTTCTCTGTGTTGATTTTGTGTAGTATAAACTCTTCGGAATAGTTGCTATTGCTGGAGTTTGTTTTGAAATATGTAGCAAAAGCATTGGCTATTTTATTGGGTTTGTTATTACATTAGTTTTATAAGTAATAAAAGGTACTTCATAAAATTATTTTTTCTGGTATTTTACAAATATCTCACTTGCTTTGGCTACGAACTGCTGCGTCATCTACCATATTCCACTATTTTATGACACTACCCGTGACGACGCCGTTTTGTAGCGCTAGTTCAGTGACGCTCGCTTCAGCATTTTACTGTATAGAAAAAAAGTAATAGAACGCCTGCATAGAAGCTTTGCTTCAAAAACCGAAAAATCTTTTTATTGAATCCTGAATAATTAACTTCGTAAATAAAAATTAAGCCCACATATGAATTATACAAAATCCAAGTGTTGTTATAAAAGCCCACATATTATAATCGTTTTAAAGAAGCTCCAGAAACTGGGTCAAACATCTTCCTTTCTTTAGCGTGCCACACTATACCACAGAGAACAATGAACTGTGCGTTTCGTGTAGGAAGTTATTAGTTTCGTGGAATAAAAGAGGAAATGTGTAATACGAAGAGAAGAGACTGTAACACAAAACTCTAATTGACTTAGAAGGATTTTACTATAATTTTTATTATTCGAAACAAACGATACGAAAAGATCTTTGATATGCGTCTATGGATTTGCTTATGAATCGTAATGAAATATCGTAGAAAAAAGTTTTAGTATTACGAAAAGTTCTGTAGGCCGAAAGATTTGATGGCAAAAAAAAGTTGACAAGGGAAAAAAGTTTAAATGAATTGTTTTAAAAAAATTGTAAAATTAATTTTTTTTTTTTTTTCGTAATAAGTTTTTTAGTTTAACTTTTAGGTTCCACTAAAAAATTGATGAATGTTTAGATGAGTTTTTTTGTAATATCTCATACTACACATTACTACTAACTTAATTGGCCAAATGAAGATGTCTAAAATGCATAAATACGCCAATAAAGAAGCAAAAGACGACGAAGAAGAAAATATATCTGTATCAGTAGTAATATCAAGTGAAGGACTAAGAAATAGACATTTTCTTTTCATTCCTGATTTCTCACCATTTGACTTTCTTCTATTACTTTCATATTTCTTGCGTTTAAAATGAATTTGTTTTGAATATTCTTACTCAGACGGCAAGAAAGTACTTTAAAAAAATGATTAAACAATACTTAAAATACACTGAGCAATGTAAACAAAAAATTTAAACAATGAAAATATAACATTCTATTACAAATATTTATTTTTACTTGTATTTGAAAACCTAAATAGCTAATTGTTAGCTAAAACTCACAAACTTTACATTTTTTATTAAAAATAATGACTGTAAAATCAATGTTTCTCTTTTTCCAGTATGGCGTATTTTTGGCTGTGATATTCATATTAGAACTCGGCGCTGGAATATCCATATTCACATATCGAGCGAAATTGACCGAAGGATTCGACCAAGGACTGACTCAAGCTATGCAAAACTATCTGAACGACAGTGCTCATTTGGCACAAGACTTCGATTTAATGCAAGAAACGGTAAGTACCAACTTTTCTAATATCTTTTGATATAACTGTTTAATAATGATTTGAAAATCAATTTTCAATCACAATTGTATGTCATCGCGTTCCTCTCGTCTAATTTTTTCTGAAATAATTTTGTAATCGGATAAGTTGTTCTGGTATACCAAACTTACGCATTGGTTGGTATAGTACTGTTCTCTTGATACTGTCGTATGCGGCCTTGAAGTCGACGAATAGGTGATGGTTTTCAATGTTAAATTCTAATGTTTTCAGTCTTATTGAATGAATCTGGTCAATTATTAATTTTTCTGGAGTGAACCCATCCTGATATTTCTCAACTATACCCACTGTGTAGCCTTTCGTAGAGAATATTTGCTAGTATTTTGTAAGGAGTTGTTAACAGGGTTATACTTCTGCAGTTGTCACACTGAATCTGATCGCCTTTTTTATGTATCGGGCATATCACGCCTTGGGACCATTTACAGGGCATGGTCTCATTTTGCCAGACAAGAAGTAAAAGTTTGTGTAGTGCTTGTAGCAAGGCGTCGCCACCATTCTTGTAGAGCTCCCTATAAAGTTGATCAGTTCCTGGTGCTTTATTATTTTTAAGCTTTTTAATGGCATGGGCAGTTCTTCAGTGGTACGTAGTCTTTCGTTTGGATTGAATAGATTTCAATCATTTCGATCTGCTACGGTTTTTTCTGCTTCTTTGATATAATGGCCGTTAAACTTTGCGTCGAAAAATGCAACCCATCAGTTCAAGATTGAGGCCGTATCACTTAGGATATTTCCTTCTCCATCCTTACAGTTACCTATTCTTGACTTAAACTCTTTACTCATTTTGTTTACATCTCTGTAGAACTTTCAAATTTCGTTTTGATTTCTTAGCAAATCTATGTTTTCTAACTGCTTTTCTTCAAATTATTTTTTTTTCTTCTATGTAATCTTTTCTTCCCTTCTTAGGGTCCGGTATTCTTTCTTTGTTCTTCTTGTGCATTTAGCTGAATTTGTCTTTAGTTATGCTCTATTTTTGTTATATGTTGCTTCTTGGCACTCCTTATCAAACCATTCATCTTGTCTAACTAATTTGGTTATCCCCAATATTGTCGATGCCTTTTCAGTTATTATATTTCTACATTTTATCCATAATTCCTCCACATTTTCCTCCGCTTCCAGCAGTTGTCTCCTGTTGGGAGTTGTCTCCTGTATTTAGGTATAGGGAACCCTTATAAAAGTATAGCTTATTTTTTAAGGAAAATTCACAAATATTATCAAATATATCAAATATAGTGTGTTCCATAAGAACAAATATACCTTTGATATCTCATTCTTTTTTGGAGCATCTTGTATAATTCATATTATTTTTTCATTATATTAAAAATGGCTATGTGAAGAAAAAAAACTGTGACAAAAAAAAAGTTGACCTAAATGAGAGAACTGTAAGAAATATTATAAAAAGAAATAGATACAATTGCTACAAAGTGCAAACCGCCCCAGAACTTTTTCCAGGCGATCATTTTAAACGTATGGAATTTTGTGAAACTATGATGGAAAAATCGAATGCGAACAATAAATTAAAAAAAATGTTTGAAATAAAATATCGAAGTGAAATTAATTCACTTCGATAAAAAACTCGAAGTTTATGGTTGAAAAAAGTTTTTATGTGATAAACGTTTATAGACTTACTTCGTCAGTTGTGGCCTATCCGACATGAGCAGAATGTCATACATGTAAATTTGGACATAACAATACAATACACAAAGACAAACAAACACTTTAAAATTTTTTTAAAAATGGAGAAGCTACATGTTATATAGAAGCCGGAGAAAGAATGGCTCCCGGTCTGGCGGAAATATTGAGATGACATGTGACAAATGACAGCTTGTAAAGGGCGGTTACAATAGATATATGATCTGCACCTTTCAAAATTCTATGAAACTAAGTATTGACCAAAGGTCCAACTGACACCACTATAGGAAATCAACTGATGAAATATAAAACTATATAGTATATTTTTTTTATGTAGATTGAATAATTCAAATCTCACACTTAAACCTGTTAATAATTAGGATGTTAGTTTGAGAGCAATTGAAGTTGACATAAAGTATGAATGTAAGAAAAAGTCTAAACAATATATTAGACAGTGGATGGTTGACTACAATAAAATGTTCCACCAAGCGCTATCAGTACTGTAAAAAAGGAAAAATCTGAATATGCAGTTAAATTAGTAAAAGTTAAAATCAAAATTGAAAGCAAAATATATAAATGGGTTATAATCCAAGTAGTTCAGTTGAATCCACAGTCAATGGAAGAACTTTAAAATTAATATCGAGATGCTCAGTGCATGAAGTCTAAACAGTCGAGCTGGGTCCTCTAAGAGGTGAAGCTGTAATAAAGTTTTTAAATATAGGATTAAATTTAGTACAATTTAAATTAATTTGAGTATTAAGACAGTACGAGTTTTCATTTGTTTCCCTTGTAATCTCCAAATCTTCCAATAAATCTAACTCAAGATAGTTTTTCTTTCTACTAATGTCATGTAAGATAGATGAACCAGAATTGATGTTAAAATTGTGGTTGCTGGATACTAAGTGTTGACCAAAACTTGAAGAGTTTGGTCTTTTCAAATGTTCAGAGACTCTAGTGGATAACTTTCTGATGGTTCTACCTACATAAGAGGCATCACAATCATCACATTTTAATTTGTAAATACCAAAAAAAAATTGTTTAAAATCCTTTATAAAAGGTATATAAAAAATGCCCCCAACGGGCTATCACAAACACATTGCAAAACGTTTTCGGATTGATAAATCCATCATCAGTGCAAACGGTTGTACATGCTAGTAGCCACCAAAATATATGGGTCAAAACCCTTTAAATGTTTTAAATTTGTAGTTGTTTTACATTATTAATAGTTATAATTTGTGATGTTTAAGTTACCGTTGGATAGGTAACATGGCGGCGTATGACTCTACATAAGTAAAATGGTCGTGAGACGAAGTGTCTACGAGGACCTGTTGATAACTGTTGAGTTGTTATTGCTGTAGAATAGCATTTAATAATATGAGAACCTTGCTAAGCAACAACAGCCTTAATTTGACGCTTCGATATCCCTTTGTAAAATGTTACATTTACTCCATACTGCTATATGGTGTAGAAACCTGGACCATAAAGGCCAATGTGATGAACTTGGAGGCCTTTGAAATATGGGTATTTAGAAGACTACTTTAAATTTCGTGGACAGATCACACAACAAATGTCCAAATATTAAATCGAATGGGCAGAGAACGAGAATTGCTGCCAATAATAAAAAGAAGAAAAACTGCTTATCTGGGTCATATATTTCGAAATTCCAAGTACCAATTCTTAAAGCTTATTATGGAAGGGAAGATAGAAGAAATACGGGGCACCGGAAGAAAGAAATACTCATGGCTTAAAAACATAAGGGATTGGACAAATCTCGATGCCCATGCACTCTTTAGAGCCACACAAGATCGAGAGGAGTATGTCAGAATTGTCGCCAACATCCACTAATTGGATAGGGCAACATAAGAAGAAGAATATTATTTATTATTTATTATTTTAGAAATTTGTACCAAATATTGTCAATTTAAAAAAAATTACTTGATTAATATAATGTACAGTATATAATTATAAACATTGCGACCGTATTCCAAGAGGTCGATACAGTGAAACACATTCTACGAGAATAAAAAAGCAACGAAACAGCGTAGCAGCAAGCAGCTGCTTTATAGAAAACCAGAAAGCAGGAAAATTGCATCGGCTGCCGTGCGGCTTTACGGTAATTTTATTGCAGAATGTAAGTGTAAAATTACAGAAATTGAATTTTAACTACATCGATTGAACCACATACGCGGCTATAAATAGTTCTCGGAGTACTTGTCCGTGTAAACAAGTTTTTAATGAAGTTATTTGTACGGAAATTGTTGATTTTTAAGAAGCTTTAGAACACGAACACTGCTATTGATGTCATATTGTGAGAGGACTGTGTATAATACATCCTTTATTGACATTACATTAGATATGTTGATCTATTTACCAACACGAAATCTGTAAAATACAGTTTGTTACAATATTTAACACATTGGCTGCCACCATAAGAGGCAGCCAATGTGTTAAATAGGTTAGGTAAGTTCCCCAAGTGCCAAAGTAAAAATGCTTACAAATCAATATTTAATTACTATTTAACTGGGAATAAGCCACAATTAAAGATAAAAATACGTTTATTGACGTTTCAATTTCCATTTCGGAAATCGTTCTCAAAATACAAACAGTAAATTACTGTTTGTAAATAAATCAATTTAAAGTTTGTATTTTGAGAACGATTTCCGAAATGGAAATTGAAACGTCAATAAACGTATTTTTATCTTTAATTGTGGCTTATTCCCCGTTAAATAGTAATTAATTTACAATGCCACAAGAAAATAGCTTCAGAACAATAAATCAATATTTATTTATACAAATGGTTAATAATATAAAGTAAGTTTACATTCTTACAATTTTATTTTTTTTTTTAAATAGCAGATGATGCGTGATCCTAATGGCACTGCAGTAACATATTACACACGTATCTCCCATTAGTATCACCTGTGATTGTGAACAACTTGCTTTTTTGGAAAACATGTCACACAATAAAATTTTTCGCAAACATTACAAAATGTAGAAACAAGTTTGGGTTTCTTTTGAGCTTCTTTACTGCCTTTTGTTCTGACAGGTACACAAAAAACGAAAACATCCCAATCTCCTATGCAACGCAAATGGTGAAATAATAGCCGATCTACAAGAAAAGCTTAGGACCTGGAAGAACTATGTAGAAGAATTGTTCGACGATAAAAGAACCTAATATAGATAACTTGCAAGGCGACGAAGGACCAGAAATAACTAAAGAAGAACTATTATACGCTATAAAAATAATGAAAAATGGTAAATCACCGGGTCCAGACGGGCTCACATCAGAACTTCTTAAGCTTGTGGAAGGCGAATCAGTGAATATT